ATGGGGAAAGGGGTAGGGGGGGAGGGGGGTCGAGGGGATGACAAGAAGTAAGTTTATCTACTTAGAGAAATTAATGTTTTATCTAGCGTCGTACTTAAATTAAATATAATAATAACGTCGATATATCGCTGTCGCTAAAAGGGATGAAAATATTTCGTAAAAAAAAGACTATCTTCACGATTTTCTAGACGGAAAGAAAGAATTCCAACTCTAAGCGCTCACATCAAGTTGTGAATAAACATATCATACCTAATTAATATATTGAACAAAGAAGGGATATCATCGTTTAATATAATATAAATATGAGTCTATATATATTAAAACAAAAGGTATATATATATATATATAAATATAAATATAAATATAAAGATTATAAATCTATATGCAAGAAGGATAGTTATTAAACGCATTATGTCGAACGAGCGTAGATCTATTCATGGTAGGCCATCTTTGATCTTATTCAAATTAACGAACAAACGATAATTAGCCACACGTGTGTAGACTCGCATGTGCGATCTTGAGCGTGTAATGTCCTTCTCGTTTTAGAACAAAAATTCGAATAGTTTCTCTCGGCTCTCTTACGATCTACCAAAACAGATCTGCGCCAGGAAATGCGGTAATAAAAGTGAAAAGCGAGCAAGAAAGCTTTTGAAAATTATTACTCTGGTCCTGTTCGTCGCGAGACAATGCAAGGAGGAAAATCTCAATGATATGTAAACCGAGTCTTGGTATATGTCAGGGTGGAACGAAACGTTGAAGTCTTTTTTTTATTTATGACTTCTGACTGTGAACAAATATTGCCTTTTTTTTAATAACATTTTATTACAAGTTCTTCGAGGCATCGCTTGAAGATTACTTTTATCAGTTTTATTAATAATTAGCAAAGAAGGCACTTGTTCAGGGCGTTGTGCTTAGAGAGGCGTTTACAGTCTTTGGCAGCCATTTTGTACAAACTTGATGCGTCAATTCGTTGTTACTGTTGGTCCATGAAAGCAGTTCTAATCTGTTCATAAAATTACTTGCTATAAATATGTCCATGTAACAGTAGATGTTACATAATAACGTTTATAAAAAATAACAATAACTATGTGTAAATTATTAGTTTCAAATGGAGCATCATTTCGTAAGATTTTTTTATCAAACGCTTTTCTAGAAAAAAAATTACATCGGCTGAATAATGAGGCAAGGGTTGTTCGCTGTTAGTAGTCGGAGAGTTTTGATAGTTTCGTTCCAAGCCGGTATAAATGTATGTATATGCTACGAGAATTTTTATGCTGGTTGTACATAAATTCTATAATTCGAACGATCTAGTGGCTGTCCTAATCGTCTCTCTTTAATTATAAACTAGAAACGAAAGAAACGATGAGAGAAGAGAGAAAAACGTCGCGACATTTTCCTCCTGTGATATTTGAATTGCGATTCGTTTTTTTCAAAATTTCTAGTCCCCACGACTTATTCGCCGAGTTTTAGCTACATAATATCGTGTGCTATGCGATACTCTCGTGAACGTTGTTGGAACACGTTAATTGAAACGGCCAAATACTTAATTAACGATATTATTATTATTATTGTAATATAAAGGATTAGCCGCCGGTCAATCATGTTCGCTAAGCTTTCTCGTAAGATTTTTATTCGAATACCGAGGTACGCGGTGTTTTCGCGACTCGCGTTTTTAAAGTGCAAAAAAAGTTCATCGTAAGTTCGTTCGATTTTGTAACTCGCCGGTTAGAGATCGAATAGGAAAGTGATTGACTGGCGTAATCAAGAAAAAAAAAGGAACTATAAGAACGATGTAATTGAGATATTATCGTTTAAACTGAAACGTAACATCCCCTCTTCTTCTTACGCTCCTCTCGTGTTCCGACCGAAGCGCATCATCCTTTTTCCTCTTCGAACATTTCCTCGTCGAAATCCAGTCTCGTTTCCGGTCCCCTTATTCCATCCGCTCTTCGTCACGCGTAATGCTATTTTTTAACCTTGAGATTTCGGTCATGGTGCTATAATATCTGTACATAATACTGTGGGAATCGTTGCGTAATCAATGTACCATTACAATTAATATTATTCGAAATAATCGTATGCATTGAATATGATTATGATAATTCTCTATTATTTCTTATCGATTCGTTATCGTCGATACCGATATATTTACACGAGCGTGTGACCGTTCAAACAGTCTGACTTAAATTCGTCTCGTGTAGATTGGGAAACGCTAACAAAGAAACAAAATGGCGGTTCCTTTTATTCTTTTCTTTTTTTATTTCAGAGATAAAAAACAAATATATATATATACATAGTAAATATATTGAATATATATATTCCGCCCGTAAGACAGGACATTGCAATAATCACGATTTTGTTTGATATTGATTCTATGATTGTATATTTATAGATAAGTTGAGCTCAAGCGTGCATCCCGTTGCGTACGCTGTATCGCATATATTATACATACTCTTCTTTTTTATATAGGCGAGATATCGACTGCGTACTATACCTGTACCGGATGTTTTATAAATCGCAAAACAGACGATTCCTTGACCATCTATAAGACGACCCTAAAAATAAGAAAATTCTCTTCAAATTCTTGTATCTTCGTTGGTGTAACTAGATTTGGGGTGCTCCTGAAAGGTAAAAGACAAGGACATAAACTGACTTTTAATCGATTTGGAAATGTATGTGCATATGCAATATGATATAAGCCATTGAAAACTTACAAATCTCTAAATAATCTTAAGTATAAGATTCCAAATGTGTCAAAATCTAATTTTGAAATTTCTGAGATTTTAAGTTAATACATTTTTAAATAATAATATTCATGTTTCTAAGTTCCTTAGTTTCCAAATGCTCAAGTCCCTAAAATTCTCAAGTTCCCATTTCCCAAATTCTAAAGCTACTAAATTTCCTGGTCCTCAAACTCCTTAAATTCCAAGTTTCCTACATCCCCAATTTCCTTGTCCTCAATCTTCTAATTTTCCCATTCCTTAGTCTCCCAATTCCCTAATCCCCAAACTTCCTAGTTCCTAATCACCTAGTCCCCCAATTCCCTAATCCCCAAATTTCCTAGTTCCCAATCACCTAGTCTCCCAATTCCCTAATCCCCAAATTTCCTAGTTCCCAATCACCTAGTCTCCCAATTTCCTAGTTCCATAATTCCTCAGTCTCCAAATTCCCTAATCCACCAATTCCCTAATCCACCTATTCCCTAGTCCCCTAATTCCCTAGTCCATCAATTACTTAGTCCCCCAATTCCCTAGTCCACCAATTCCCTAATCCCCAAATTCCTTAGTCCCCCAATTCCCTAGTCCCCCAATTCCCTAATCCCCAAATTCCCTAGTCCCCCAATTCCCTAGTCCCCCAATTCCCTAGTCCATCAATTCCCTAGTCCACCAATTCCCTAGTCCCCCAATTCCCTAATCCCCAAATTTCCTAGTCCACCAATTCCCTAGTCCCCAATTCCCTAGTCCACCAATTTCCTAGTCTCCTAATTCCGAAATCCACCAATTCCCTAATCCCCAAATTTCAAATGTCCAAATCCCTAAATCTCCAAATCTCCTCCTAACATGTTCGACTACTCACACTTCCCAAACGGCCATAAAACACATATGTCCATATACCTCGAGGCAATATATCTCGAAGAAAAATCCTAGTTACGCCAATGCGTATGCTCAATACGAAAAGAAAAGAAATAACGATTCGAAGCAAGAAAAACTGAAAACTGTGTGTTCAATAGATAATTAAAGGTTGTCTTATTTCCATCACGGAATCTTTGTTTTTTTCGTTCTGTTCTGATTGATACACGATTTACGAAACAGCCTACATAATACGATATATCGAGATGATGAAAGGATGACGGTGACGATGGATGATGGCGTGCCAAGCGAGGCGGGAATTGTTTTTCTATTTCTCTTTTCCTTTATCCTTTTATTTTTTTTTTTTAATGCAAAAAAGAATATATTACATATGTATGTATAAAATAATATAAAAACGACGATAATGTTATTAAGGTAAATAAGTACGACAAAACGACTGCTCTATACTGCTAAAGTACAAATGTTTCATTTTAATTGTTTTATAAAGAGAAAAAACAAAATGATATCGATTTGTTAGAGATTAGGTTTAATGCGTGCAAGCTCGCGCGCGATGTACGTGTATAATTATATTTATTTGTTAATCTCTCAGCATAATTAACGTGGCCCCTCCATCCGCGTGTCATCGTTGCATGCACAAAATACATACATACGTGACACGCTTATGTTCGTTCACTTCGCGTTCACACCGACACAATGTTCACTACGCCCATCTTCTTTTCTGACGTACTTATAAATGTAAAAATTGTGCGATTGATACGGTTATGCTCGATTGGAGACAATTTATTGATCTTCAAATTGTACTCAATTATATACAGAATTTACTGAGGATGTGTATTGCAATGGTTTCTCAATTTGGGAAGGTGGAATAACTTAATTTTCATGGTAACTGATTTTTAAGTTTTGGGGATTTGAGAATTTTTAATTTTGGGGAATTCGCAAGTTCCCTAATTCCCAGACTTTTCAATTCCTAATCTCCCAAGTTTCCAACCTTCCTCATTTCCAATCTTCCCAATTCCCAATTTTCCCAATTCCCAATTTTCCCAATTCCCAATTTTCTCAATTCCCAATTTTCCCAATTCCCAATTTTCCCAATTCCCAATCTTCCAAATTCCCAATCTTCCAAATTCCCAATCTTCCCAATTTCCAACCTTCCTAATTCCCAAGCTTCCCAACTTCCCTAATTCTCTAATTCCCCGATTCCCTAATTCCCCAAATTCCAAATTCCCAATTCCGTAATTCCCTGATTCCCTAATTCCCCGATTCCCTAAATCCCCGATTCCCTAAATCCCCGATTCCCCAAATCCCCAATTTGCAAATTCCCCGGTTCTCTAATTCCCCGATTCCCTAAATCCCCGATTCCCCAAATCCCCAATTTGCAAATTCCCCGGTTCCCCAAATCCCCGATTCCCCAAATCCCCGATTCCTCAAATCCCCAATTTGCAATTTCCCCGTTCCCTAATTCCCTGATTCCCTAATTCCCCAATTCCCGAAATCCCCGATTCCCGAAATCCCCGATTCCCAAAATCCCCAATTTGCAAATTCCCCGGTTCCCCAAATCCCCGATTCCCCAAATCCCCGATTCCTCAAATCCCCAATTTGCAATTTCCCCGTTCCCTAATTCCCTGATTCCCTAATTCCCCAATTCCCGAAATCCCAGATTCCCAAAATCCCCGATTCCCGAAATCCCCGATTCCCTAATTCCCCGATTCCCTAATTCACCGATCCCCTAATTCCCAAATTCCCAAATTCCCAAATTCCCAAACTTCCAAATTACCAAATTCCCAACCGAGCATTACCGTACCAGGTGATATAAGGTGCGTACAAATGCACAGGATCGAAATTCGTCGTTTTCGTCGTAACACGCACAGATTTCGAACGGTCTCCAATAATATATCCATTTTGACAGACAATCACCACAATGGTGTCTGATGATCGATGCTGAACAGGGAACAGAACTTGCAGACAGACAGTGGTTTTCTTTTTGTACAGCGTTTCCCAATCGTTTTGTTCGCGTTGTTGAATCAACATAACGATACGTAATTGTCTCAATTATTTACTGTACAGCACGACTTCTGATATGTACGTATAAAATACACTGGTCCCTCGCCGTAACCAAAACATACATTAACAATTTTGTACTTACAAAAAATTTGCAAATTTGAAATAAATTTGAAATTCTAAAATTTGAAAATTAATCTGAAAAATTTGGAAGTTTAAAAAGTGTACAAAGAAGGACCAGTGTATTCCATTTGTTCTAAACAGAACCGATACAATTATATATTAGAAGTGTAAGGGAGAAATCTGCAAACTGCCTTTGGACTTGATACCTTGTTCTTTCTACGAGGAACTTCCGTAAAGTAAATGAAACTTTTGTACAAAGAGAAAATGTTTTTCGAATACTCTCCGCACGACTCGTAGATTGGGAAACGTTGATTTATTTAATCAAGGTACGACAATAATACGTACACGCTGCTTATCGTTAATTGTAAACCGGTGAATTGTTTAAGTATGACTCTGTACAAAATAGTAATAGTATACTTTGGTAGATTCGTTTCTTTAAGAAAAAAACAATAATGTTTATCACACGTTGTTTGTAATTCATCTGTGCTCAAAATTGATCAACAACCGATTAATCTGTTTTGAGGATTATTCACGTTTTAAGTTGACACGCTATCATCACGCTGAAAGATGTAAAAATATTTTTCTAACAAATACAAAGTCACGCTAATTTTAATACGATTCACAGCCATGGATACGAACATTCTGAGCAAAGATGAATTAAAATAAATACAATATTCTTTATAATAAAATTACATTGAACGCGTTATTATTGTCGTTGCTTGGTTCGATCATACATTCATGCTCATTGAACGTTACTTCGTATTTTACATGATATTCCATTCGTGATCGTACTTAATCATACCAGTATCGTTCCATCTGATTACCGATTAGTTTCAGGCATTTCACAATGTGTCCAATTGAATCCGACGATGATTCGATCAATATTTCATCCTTTACGGTGCAACGAGTTTTCCCTATTTAACCTTCGTGTTTAACTAATTCGTATCTATCGCTGCAAAAATATTTTTATCGGCTAATTTTCATGAAATCAAATTTTGCTATCGGATACAGTAAAGAGGAATGAAATAGGGAAAACGAAGGAAACTAGTTTAAAAAAATCATGATCGAATCAATTGCAACAATGATTCCCAAAATTGTAATCCAAAATAAATGCAATGAAGAAATAGTCTCGCGTTGCTCGTGATTGCACGAAAAAAAAAGAAATTATAGATCAATATACATATATCTCTGTCATACATATCGTCGCAATAATCGATCAATATTTTATATTTTCTCCTGTAAGACAAAAGTTTGTCCACATTGGCTCTTTGCAAACGCGCGAATCGATCGTATTTTTGTAAACCCTTTAGAAATCAATTTCATATAAAGTCCAAGCTGCCGATGGAACGTCTTTTATGATGTAAAAGTGTTTTGCAATGAATCGCAATAAAAAATGACTATAGTTCGCAGAGGGTTCAAAAAGAAAAGAAAAAATACTCGGACAACGTTTGTCGACTATAGAATGCTTGACCATTTGAGTGCGGGGGATCCCGGATCCTCGATACTCTGACGAGAAATACGAAAAGCGCAGCCATTGGTGTAAACAGGGCCCTAAATCCACCAAATATTAAATTAACTACTTACATGGAGGAGTAGAATACTTCATACTTTTAATATTTAAAATTGCTCCACAAATTCCAAGGTTCCCAAATTTCTCATATTCCCAAATTCCAAGATTCCCGAATTCCTAGGTTCCAGAATTCCAAGGTCCCCAAATTCCAAGGTCCCCAAATTCCAAGGTTCCAGAATTCCAAGGTCTCACAATTCCAAGGTCCCCAAATTCCAAGATTCCCGAATTCCTAGATTCCCGAATTCCAAGGTTCCAGAATTCCAAGGTCACCAAATTCCAAGGTCCCCAAATTCCAAGGTTCCAGAATTCCAAGGTCCCCAAATTCCAAGGTCCCCAAATTCCAGAGTCCACAAATTCCAAGATTCCCGAATTCCAAGGTCTCTAAATTCCAAGGTCCCCAAATTCCAAGGTCCCCAAATTCCTGCACCCCCAAATTTCTCACATCCCCAAATTCCAAGATCCCCAAATTACTACGTCCCCAAATTCCAAGGTGCCCAAAATTCTCAAGAAATCTCAAAATTCCCAAATCCCAAAATTCTCAAGTCCCAAAACTCTCAAATCCCAAAATTCCTAAATCCCAAAATTCCCAAATCCCAAAACATCTAAATCTCCAAATCCCCTAATCCCAAAATCCCCAAATCTACAAATCTACAAATCCCCAATTCCCTAAATCCCCAAATCCCAAAATTCCAAAATTCCAAAATTCCAAAACCCCCAAATCCCCAAATCCCCAAATCCCCAAATCCCCAAATCCCCAAATCTAAATTCCCAAAATTCAATTACCTGAAATTCTCGAATCTAATTTTCAAACTCAAAAATATATTTACGCCCACTATTAAATTAAGATGACCTAACAATTACGCCAATGAGCGGCAACGCTTCTTGCATTTCTTCCGTCTTGACAATCGTAGAACGCAACGAATATTGCCCTACGGTTGTCTTCTCATTGAGAAAATCATTCGTGATTCACTGTTATTTGATCAGTATCAGTTAATAAACTTTTTAAATAGTGTTAAAAAATAAAGATAACATTTCTTTCTTTCTCGAATCCTTCATTTCATCCGAATTCCCAACGCGTTTCCTGTCGTTTGATCACTTCCGGAACTACTCTGCACTCAAATGGTTCGATCGACGACGTGGAGCGTACGAAAATCGTTCAGCGGTAAAAAGCAAGCGAGCCGAGACAATCGAGACAAAATTGACGGTAAATTGTTCTATTTTTTTAATTTAAAACTATTATGTTTATTATGGAGTATTTGTATCTTAAGAAATATTTGTGAACAAGTAGGGTCTGGTTTTTTAATCGTTGTTATTCATGTATTTCTTTTTGTCCTACGCGTTCTTCGTCGCGTTATAGAACATAGAGATATAAGAATAGAGTGCACAAAAAGTTAAAATAGCTATATATAGCGGTAGAAACAAAACGCTGTATCTTTTATGCGTTGTGTAATCACGCATGCGTATTGGCGTGATGGATGCAACGCGCATAGTGATGCACATAATAGAGCTGCTACATCACTAATACGGAAACGTTATTCACAATTTGATACATAAACTTATATTTTATTAAGAAAACAACTGTCGGGAATTATGAAGCTTTTATATTTCTCTTTTCAAAGGTTTTCAAAATAACGCAGATCAATGAGGAAGTACGCATGCGTGATTAAACAATGATACAAATCTTTATGCAGCGTTTTCTTTCACTTCCCATTTATGTTTCCTGTTCTTATATTTCTATGCGTTGCAATTATAAACTGTCAGTCATTTACCTGTAATACCTTCGACTAACGCTTTTCAAATCGATATCAATAATGTTCAAGCTCCAATTCGAGATATATATGAATGTATTAACTTGTCACCTGACAATTATTTTAGAGGTTAGGAATGCTTCGAACAGTTTTTGTAGTCTACAGCGAAAGAAAATGAAAGTTACTACATACTCGATGTGATTGATGTCACAATTTCCATGATCAATATTTTCTTACTTTCTTTATTTATAACAATGGAGTTAAAAAGTATTTTGCATGGTTATATTCTGTATTTGTACGTACTTCCGAATAGGAGCATAAATAAGTGTTCCAAATTTTGCGGAACGATACGGGTGTTCATATTTAAATAGATATTCATACTATCCGGATATTACAAAAAGAAAATGATATTTGAATAGTACAAATAACACAAGTAATATCCGTTACCTGATCAAGTACCTGGATTATCGTTTGAATTTTTAAAGTTACGGGAAAGTAATGGAAGATTAAAAATGTAAGTTTGAAAGGTCGCTGAAATTGACAATGAAACAAAAACTATTAAGTCGTTTTGCTAATACTCTTCAAATACAAGTGTAATTTACATTCAGCAAAGATATTTAATATCTTGAAGTGACATTGATAAGGATACTTACTATATTCGGATAATATGAGTATCCACTGCTTAGAATATTCATTAACATTTTACTAATAAAGTAATAACATATTTAATTTTATATCTTTGACAATGAAATGTTTTCTTCTGTTGTTTTTATATCTATATGAAATTACAAGTTGTACCTTAAATATAATCAATTATTCCTATCTTACTCCAGTATAATTTTATGCCAATTACATTTATCATTTGCAGCAATTATAACAACATTGGACAGTATTGCTGTTTGCAGAATAGAAATAAAAGTTATAAATAATCAATATTTTTATTTCGTAAACTTTTATTTTATAAAAACTTATGGATTACAAATGTCAGTTCTCATTTAATACTTCTATGAATTTTTCCAAACTGAAATCTTTTCTTTCTAATATTTCTTTTTCTACTTTTTGTGGTAATATAATTCCAGTCAATTTAGAAACCATACTTCTTTTAGGTTTGTCTGCATCTTTTCTCCTTTTACGTTGTAACTTTTTGGTTCTTTTTATCCTTGTTTCTAACATATGTAATTTCTGAATATGTTCTGTTAATCTTCGTTTTGTTGTAATTTTTATCTTACATATATCGCACTCGTATTTCTGATCTAAGTGGTAGACTCTTATATGTTGATCCAAATTTTTTTGGAAGTAATACACTCGCGGACATTTTTCATATGGGCAAGGTATAAGTAATCTGTGTTTTATGTGAACTTGAGAATGGACTCTTAAATGATGTTTCTGTAAAAATCGTTTATCACAATCCTTGCATTTGTAATCTGTAAATAAAATAATTGTTTAATTAAACTTATAACAGAAAACATATTTTTAGTAATAATACTAGTTCTTGTGTTATGTTATACATAAAGAAATTACATTGATAAATACATACCATTTACATGTTGAGTTTTTAAATGGCTTTGAAAAAGTATCCAGTTTTCAAACACTTCATTGCATCCTGATCTTGTACATGGATATTGTTTAAGTTTCTCATGAGTAGCCTTGTGATTTTTGAATTTTGTGGGATTTGTGAAACTCTTATTACATTTCTCACATTTATATAGCACTGGGTTATGAGTTGCTTTATGAGCTGCAAGCTGGTACTTTTTAGTGAAAGATGCATTACATTCTTTACAAGTTAATTTCTCACGTTCATGTTGAGTTTTATAATGACGCTTCAAATTATAGCGATGAGCAATAAATATTGAACATTCAGGACACCTTAAATTAAAGCAAAATAGAAAATATGTTGAAATGACAATAATGAAATTAATGAAAGAATGATTTACATACTGATACATTGTTTTTATGTCACTATGAGTTTCCATATGACGTTTCAAATGACAAGCATTTGTGTAGGCTTTATCACAATTTTCATAATTACATTTATAGCTTCTCTAAAAAAGAAAAGAAAAAATTAATTTGTATTTCTTACAAGTATCTAAAATATATGAAACTATTATTACCTCTCCAGTGTGAGATCTGAAGTGTCTCATTAATCGGGATGGTCTACAATAAGCTGCTTCACAGCCAGGATAAGTACACTTATGTCTTTTCTCATCTTTCTTAACTTCAGAACATGTGATATTATTTTTTATCAGACGAGTTTCAGATTCTGAGAGAACGCTATGTGTTTCAGAATTTTTATCTTGTCCCATTGTTAAATTATTTTGCCCTAATATGTTCGGAAACTTGGTATATTGTATGTAAAATACAATATACACAACAAATATATAAATTTATATTTTACTTACAAATTACAAACTTCCAAATCTTAACCTCTCACAATAATTAATTGTTCTAACTTGAGTTTATTAACACAATTTTGTCTAATACAAAGTTTCCATACTTCATACGCACAAGACATTGTGTAGTGTTCATAATATATTAATATTTATAACTGCATTACAGCACACGTGCTTCTACCCCATTCATATATTTTCATCTATAGACGATTTAGGGAAATAAAGGATCATTCGACAGTAGTGAGCTCTATCCTTAGAACTCAACGTTCGACTGTCTATTTTTGTTGAATTGACTATAGGTTTTCCTCTATAATTGCGTCTGAGCAACGAACCGTTGTAGGAATCAGCTGTTGTTGACTTGTGTAAATAAATTGGATTGTTTTAATAATTCTTATGACACAGTTGGTAATTGTTCATGAACCATAATGAACTTCAACTCAGAAGGATATATTTTTATAGAACCATCACAGTTATGTGAAGTCTGTGTTTATCATCATTATATAAAATAAATGATGCGTAGAAGGTTATATTGATCTATATTCATTTGACAGCGTATGAAGGTGAGATTGGATGCCAAATTAACATTTCATAAATAGATCAAGACGTAATGATAGATTAAAATATATTTAAGCAGAAACATTATTTTCGAAGATTATTCCTATAATTTCAAATTGTGAAAGATACGATGCGTATAAAGTTTTTCAAGAGGTTAGATAGACTTCAATGTTTGTTGGTATGTTTTAATTTTGCATAGGAGTTCTGTAAAAACAGCAAATTTTGCAGTTGAAATACGAACAGGCTGTAAACAATAGTTAGCCTACCTTTAACCCTCATTTTAATCATTGAGGGAACATCTAATATATATTGTTTTAAATACATAACATGTTATTACAGAATCCTGAAAAAAAAAAGATAATGGGACAAACACTCAGTGAACCTGTGACTACAAAGAAATCTGCATATTGTATAAATTCAAAATATAGAGTTGGTAGTTCGTGTATGCAAGGATGGCGTATCACAATGGAAGATTGTCATGTTCATATACTTTCATTACCGGATGATCCTGGTACTGCATTCTTTGCAGTATATGATGGACATGGGAGTAAGAATAATACATGAAATTTAAAGATTCAGCATCAACAGTAAAATCATGAATTTAGAACAAAAAGAATATTACTTACTTTATAAAATAGTTAACTTAAAACAGATTGGAAGATAATATACTTTAAAAGAAAGTTTTAGGTCTTATTATAATTGGCATAAATAAGAAGTTTTAGTAAATAATATAACTGTAATTATGTACTTCTATACTTGAAGAAGTGATAGATAATATTGGTAGGTGCAGCAATGGCACAGCATGCGGGAAAACATCTTCATGAGTACATAATTAAGAGAAGCGAGTACAAAGCTGGTAACATTGTTCAAGCCATACAACAAGGTTTTCTAGAATTAGACAAAGCAATGCAAAATGATGTAACTCTTAAAGATGAGCAGGCAGGAACTACTGTTATAGCTCTTCTCATTAAGGATAATATTTTATATAGTGTAAGTTTATAATAATCTTTATTTCTATTTCTATTTTTGATTCATAAAATTTGACAGGCAAATGCAGGTGATAGTAGAGCGGTAGCAAGTATAAATGGTCGAGCAGTTCCCCTTAGTCGTGACCATAAACCTACATTAAAAGATGAACGCGAAAGAATCGAAGCCGCGGGTGGCTGGGTCGAATTTAATAGAGTTAATGGACTACTTGCATTATCTCGAGCTCTTGGCGATTTTATGTTTAAAAGAAACGAACGCAAATCGGCACAAGAACAAATCGTGACTGGTACGTCACAAACAAAATTAAAAGAAAGAAATCGAAGTTTTAAGACCAATATATATATTACTTTCATATTTTCAGCCTTCCCTGAAGTTCAGGAATTTAAAATAACAGATGACTGGGAATTTGTTGTGTTGGCTTGTGATGGTATTTGGGATGTGATGACGAGCAGTGAAGTAGTCGATTTTGTGAGAGCGCGATTAATGCCGTCTGGACCAAATAATGAGTGGATGGATCCTGAAGAGATTTGTGAAGAGCTTATAAAACATTGCCTTGCACCAGATGCTATAATGGGTACTGGTTGTGACAACATGACCGTTGTTCTTGTTTGTTTTCATCATGGAAAACCATATTTTTTTTCAATTCCACGTTGTAAAGAGTCTTTAATTAGTACAAAGCCTTAACTATATTTTGATCATTAACATTTTAGAGCATCTTTTAAATTTGTATTTGATTTTATACCATGAAGAAATTAACCGTATTTGCTTATCATAACTATCGCATCACGGCTGCAAAATTGTTAAAAATTTTGAGGAACTTGCTTTTAAACTGTATAGACCCAAAATTAAAAAAGGAAACATTCATTTTATACTAATAAAGAAATTTTCGTTTACCAGTTATCATAAACATCTCAGATCTATAATTTTTTGTGAAAAAATTACAAATAAGCTGAATTATAAGTTTTTATTTACAATTTCGAACAATGGACGAGAAATGTCCAGATATAAGTTTAGTAACAATCTTAATAAAATGCGTAAGTTTTCATTCAAACCTCATAGCGATCTAGTAGAGAAGAAACAGCCGCATTAGCAAGAGAACTTAATCTATCTGCGACCTTATTTACTCCTTGACGTACACTTTCTTTAACATCATCTAAATCCACAACCCCACCTCCTCCACCACTAAGACGCATTGACAAAGAAGACGTAGGGGATGTAGCCGTCGAACTTCCTGTGCCAAAATAATCAGCTGAAGAAATACTAGAAGAACCTTCGAAACGTTGTAAATTACTTTTACGTTCCCACTGTAATAAAATGACAGAATATTTATTTAGACTAAAAAATAAAACTTGCACAAATTATTTAATATATAATATAAACCTACAGAATCGTCATTTTTGCTATCCTGAAAATACTGATCTGAACTAATAGCCTTGGCACTACCAAACTTCTTTTGTGCTTCTCCTCCTTCGGATACTTTACTATCATTCTTACTACTATTTGCTTTGCTTAAAGGAGTCGTCCGTTTTGGCGGTTCTGGTTCTGCAATAACAACTACTTCCTCGTTGCGAGGTTTATTATTATTGTTACTACTGTCCGGGATTGATAAGGCCGCATAATATTCGTCTAAACGAATAAAAAGATCTCGCTCAAAATCCATAACTCTGACTTTTGGTTCAGAAGCAGTTATAGTTTTTGATGATGTTTCTTGAGTTATTGTCTGCATGTCACCAAGTGCAGAATGACTTGCACCACTGAAAAGTATATATTATTTATGTTTGTGGTATTAAATATACATAAAGAAAAGAATAGAATAAACGGTATTACCTTCGCGTGTTAAATCCCATACCAAGACGTTCAGCTTGCGTTGCTTTAGAAGGATCTAATTGTTTTGCTCTCTCTTCTACTTTCTTAGCTTGTTGACTTAAATTCTGTTCGTAACGATAAGCAAGGCGGGTAGCAATTTCTTCCTTTTCCTTCTCTGCGGTTTCTTGGTGATCCTTCTCCTGTGATTCTTTACTAGCTTCGACGACACTTTTCTCTAATTCGTCAAAATTTGTTTTAACCCTTTGGGCACCCAAACCTTTTCTTCCTAACTGTTATTAGAATATAAAGATTTATATACTTTTCCAAGTTATAATATTGAGCATAAACAACTAATAAATAACTACGCACACCAGGACGTTTGGCTTGAGCTTTTCTGCCTCCTATAGTAGGTTTCCTTTCAGATATTAAACTTGAGGTAGAATCGGATAATTTTACACTTGGTCCTAAAGAATTAGCTGTAATATCTGGCATATCCTTTTGATTATTTTTATCTACATTTTCATTATGTGATACGGAATTACTGAGAGATATTAAATTTGCCTCATCATGTACTAAAGACTCATTATGATGTAATTCAGAGTTTTCATGTTCTTTAAAGAAATCAATTTCACCATGTTCTTCAGCTGTGGATGTTGGACCATCATCTAAATGTAGCTGAAAAGATTTCATCTTGAAAAATTTCTTTTCTGAAGTATATTATAACATTTATATCATATTTATATTTTATGTCATATTTCGTGTAAGACACACACATTAAATGAGTTAGTCATGTAATAAAGTAGTTTACAATAATTTATAAGCACCACTGTAAACACTTTTTCAAAAATTGTGCAAATTGTTTAAAACTGTTCAGAATAAATGAAGTGAAAAAATAATCAATTTTAAAAAAACTGTTGTTCAAAATGAAGTACCAAAGAAATGTTAGTAACTTGATGAGATTTTTTTGATGCAAGAAATTTTACAGCTCACCATTCTTTTATTTTTTGTTGAAGGAAGAAAAACCTATAATTATCATATTTTTTATTATAAAATTTTTAATCATTACAGATGTATGTTCTAAATTAAGGTGTATACATACCAACTTTCCTAAGCCTTACCTTTGTTCCATAGCGTCGCATTGCTTGAGCAGATGCTTGAGCCAATTTTTCTCTGTACTGCATAGCAGCACGTGAATTATATTTCTGCTGAGCATCCATTGTTGTGCAATTGTGTTGTGCAAAATATTTCCTCTAAAAAATTTTTAAGATTATATACAATTATACAAGTCATATATTTTAGTAGCAAAAAACACTAACAGCATTTGCATTTCCTCCCAATTGCATGTTTCTCAGTTGTAACCAAGTCCAATTTGTATCAAGTTGAGTGGATCGAACAAATGTCAAATGAACTCCTAATCCTCGATGGACTGCAGAGCAGTCGATGCATAAGAAGACACCGTAAGTTACACTGGACCATGCTGGATTTTTTGCATTGCAATCGAAGCATGTCTAAACACACCATAATGAAATATTAATGCTTTAGTAAAATTATAAATGATAAATGTAATATCATTTATCATGAAAAATTTATCATGTATTCAATTGTAAGTGACAAATACAATTAACAATTTCAAAATATATTTTAATAAGAACCTCTTTTGTTAACATCGCTAAACTGTAAGTTATTGTAAATTGTTTTGTAGTGTATATGATACGTGTCAGCATAAAATGAAAGTTTCCAGGAAAATTACAGGTTGGAAATGAAAATATGACGTTGCTATTAAATAATTGTCAAGTAGGAGTCAACACATTTTTAAATAATTTCGAGTTCAATGTTGTGGAATTAAGGGAAAAATGACAAAGCAAACCTTATTTGTTGGAATAGCTCTTAATCTTTTAAAAATTTCCTCAATATCACTTTTACTAGGTGCTGAATCTGCCATTTTTGACGTGTTGTCAACGGCCTCGCAAAGTATTCTGGGATTTGACGATGGGTTATGCATAGATAGAGGTCGCTTTACTATAATTTAAATCGTCTACACATGACGTAAAGATCGTTAATATTGCTTGGTACTTCAAGAAAACATACACACAATTTAAAAAATATTAATGCTATTAAGACTTTATTATAAAGTTTTATCTTACAGGAAGTAAACATAAAGATAAATATAATTATTAAGTATATCAGGACTTCTTTTTATCGGTCGATGTATCAGATCGTTGTCCAACACTCGGGGAATCACTCACGTTCACCTCTTCTTCTTCTACTTCTAAGTTATTCAATCTACAATCATTGATATAATGTGATTGAAATTAAAAAAGATATTATGGTTACTGAAGTAACTTACTCATCCTGTTCAAGGCTATATAACATTTGAAAACCAGCATCTAAACTAGGGGGAAAGCCCATTTCAGGATCTAACAATTGGAGAGTTGGAACTTCTCGATACACGTTACCAAATTCGTCAAGTTCTTCAAATTGTAGTTTGTTTGCTGCTTCATCTAAAACCATTCTAAAAATTGAGTACACGTTAACAGAAATAAAATGCATTTTTTAAAACAAAATACTACAACCACTTCGGTGTGATTAAATACTTAGAACTACAAGCATTAAGTTCAAGTTGCCTCTGTTTTTCCATCATTGCTTCTACTTTCTTCTTCATGTTTGCTTCAAATTTTAACACATACTCTTGATAATAATCATGAAGAGTAGATACACTACCAACACCTGTTTCCAGCAAAACCCTTTCTACAATGTCCTATAAAAAAACCATCTATTTATTGTATTTAAAGTTAATAAATATTACACTAGATAACGAAGTGGAGAAGTATAATTTATCTTACAGGAAAACCATGGTCCTTCTGTTCGTATGCAACTTTTATTAAAAGTGTCATTCGTTTTATAAAGTGATCAGCAATATCTGTAAGCGTTTCTATAGCAATATCTGATGATTTTTCAAATCCAATGTGAGCTAAAAGAATAATGACTGCATGTCTTAATATAGAACGTGCTGTTTCTGGTGTGAGATAGTGTATTGTAGAGGAGTCCTTGAATATGCTTCTGAAATGATACAGCTTGTTAATTAATGGCACAATTATGTAAATGCACACTCCATGTATAAACATCAATACCTCTTTTTTTGCATAGATAAAAAATTAAATGAATTTTGTGTTTCTTTCCCTTCTTGTAGATCATTTGTGTCAATTGTTGTCATATTTCCCAATACCATTCCTTCTTCCTAAAATGTATAAGATGTAAATATCAATAACTATTATTTAGAATGATAATCATTTCATATTATTACCATCATTCTTAATTGTTGATGAAGATTTATAGTATTTAAGACATGAAGATTTCCCATAGGCAATCTACAAATAAATAATGTCCAGTACAATATCTTAATACTGTTTTTATTATTATGACCATTTTTATTTCTGATCTATAGATAAGCTTACTGTATATATTCAGGTTGTTTGTCCATTTGAAAATCACAATCTGTATTGTTGGACTCTTCCATAACTTGTCTCCAAACATTTTCTATTATATCTGGTGTTATTACTTCTTGTTTTAGAGTTTCTCTCGCTGGCAATTCCCCCCATAATGAACCAGTTCCAGTATTTTTGTTAGATTTCATAATGTTTTTAAATTAAAAATTAACATTTGACATAGTAATAAATATTTGAAATAGTATAAATAATAAGTTTGTTAAACTATAAAATCATTATGGTTTTATATCTTCTTCAAAATTGATGATATAAACAACATTACAAATTTTCATTAAAAGTACTTGTTTCTTTTGAACATTTATTCACACACATTATTACTTTAAACATATTTCATTAAAATCGAAGTAACTTTACTTATTTACATAGTTATTTTCCACTAGTCAATGCAAGAATAGTTTTATGTGCAATAATGAATGCATGTACTACTTTTTTCCATTAAAAACCCCGCGCACGCACACATACACAGAATTCCCATGTAATGCATGTAACCAACAGTTCGAAAACGTCATTGCATTTTGGATAAAAACCTGTAAACCAAAAGTTCTATATTTTAGAAAGAATCTCAGGTTAGTTTTATGCAAACATAAATCATTTATAATTTTACTCTGTATCAAAAAGTTTTACGTAACCGCGATTCAATTTTCATTACTCGTGTAGCTCTTTTGATTCGCTTAAATTTAAAATTTCTTTTCTATTAGGTTAGGATTCTATTATGCTGTATGTGGACGCCATAATTGCATTGCGATTACTATTAATCGAAATGCATTTCGATATATCCGAGAATCGATTATATTCAAACACATGATAATTTAAAAATAATAAATTTTATACTTTCATCTTTAGCGAATAAAAAGATTATAATATTTTCATAATGTCTTTTCAATTCTTATATTTATATAAAATATATTTATTCATTGTTACAATAACATATATCATTATGTTGACATAAGAATAATCTGAGATTGATTTACTATAAGTGATAAATTATATCAGTATCAGAAGTACAATACATTTTTTAAAATATTGCTTATCTGTTAGTTCATGTTACTTACTTACTAAGTATCTATTGGTTCCATTACAAACTCCTTGAATTTATGTACTAAATTATTATTTAAGGTAAATCATTATTTATAGAATATATATGCACAATGGAGAATGCTGCTGCTTCAATTTTAAAACGAGCAGTTGAGAAGGACAATAGTAAACAGTACACAATGGCTTTGGTATTGTATCAAGAAGGTGTGCAAATACTACTGGATTCTATGAAAGGTATTGACATTATAAATATTATAATTAATTACTTTTCTATATTTAATACTTTTGTAAACTTCTATAAATTATGCATTATATCTTTAAATATGTTTACAACCTCGTGAATTACTTTAAAAATTAGTTATGAAACAATGCAGAGACAAGGGATTCGGCTAGGCAGAAACATTTTGCTACCAAGGCATCAGAGTATCTAGACAGAGCAGAAAAAATAAAGAGTTTAATTGAAAAAGAGAAGGCTGCTGGAACTTACAGGGAATTAATTAAAATTGAAAATGGTAGTATAGGACATGGTTATGGAACTGTCTTTGGTAGATTTTTAGATGCGACAGTTACATATATTCATATTGAAGACCCATACATAAGAGCATTTCATCAGGTAATAATTCATTATTATCAATACTTGTACATAAGTATTAATATGTTGTTTGAATTATATTAATTGATTTACTTTTAGTGCCAGAATTTGGTAAGATTATGTGAATTGGCAGTCAAGAAATGCCATGCATTATCCAAAATATCTTTGGTTACAACTGTGGATGTAGATGATAGAAAGAATCAAAAAGCTAGATTAGAAGAGTTGAAACAAAGTTTAATGTCACATCTTATTTCCTTTGAATTTCAATTTTCGGATACTTTACACGACCGACAGATATTGTAAGAAAATTAAGTTACTGCATATTCTTGTATTTAGAAAAATGTATTATATGATACTATTACCTCAATTTTGTTTTAGATTCAGTAATGGTTGGATAGTCAAAATAGGTCGTGGATTGGACTATTTTAAAGCACCTGATGGAAAGTTTGTGCTGGGTGCTTGTGATCTTGAATTAAGACCATGCTTAGAAACAATTATAGACATATTTCATAAACAACATTTAAAAACTGATATCACATAATGAATTATAATAAATTAGACCTCATTCTTTCCACGCGCGAGACTATTATATCGATTAAAATATATGTATAGAATTTGAGAACATCTGGTTCACATTTTTATTGTAAGTATCTATACAACACATTTCCACAGTCGAAGGGAATGTAATTTTATCATTATTTTTAAGTATAGTTTTAACATATACTTCAATTTATATTTGGTGCATAATATCATGCACATGGAATAAAATCGAATATTTTAACGAAGATATTTGCATTATGAAATATTTTGTAATTCATAAGCAACAATTGTGGAATAAAAATTTATATTGCATGGATGAAATATGTAATCTCATTTTAAGGATATTAAGTAACATAAAATTACATAATCTAAACACACGTTTTCCAACATAATCAAATTCTTCCAACGAGGGTAGCAAGGGTTCCTTTTTATTGTAACACTCAAGAATACAATATAATCATTGATACATATGTACAGAACACAACGCACGTAAACTAACGAACAAAAAGTAAGTTACAATTTTAATAGAAATTTACTTATTTTTATATCATGTAATTAATATTATATAGATCGGTGATGGGCAAAGTGTTTTGAACAAAGTAATTTGGTTATTTAAAAATTTATAAATGTAAAATTATTGATATACAAAAATCTCAAAGCAAACTCACAAGCCAAAATGCCCATCACAGATATAAATAAAAATAATTCTAAAAGATCATGTTAAACAAAGATCAGACTAAATATGTTATGCAAACAAGACTTATATTAAAAAGATGAATATTCGCGTTCACCAAATCATATCCGTTTCCGACTTCGTCCGAGCCAAAGGATTCAAACACAAATTCTTCAGAACCTGTACCGCATCCTCACCGTCGTCCCTCGCGTACAAAGTTTGCCTTTTGACGCTTCCAGCTTCCATCGACTTCCCACGAACGTTATCGTACGAAGAATTCTCCTTATTCTTTTTAACTTTCGATTTACTCTTTCGTTTTACGGAGCTCTTCGACGAACACGTTCCCGTCTTCTTAGTTTTGAACGAAGGACGTTTTCTTCTTTTACCAATTCCGCTACCGCTGCCTGATCCAACGGAAACCAATGACTTGACAGACGCATAATCGATTTTCTTATCGCAATCTTTCTTAGAAACACTTTGACCCTGCGGCGTCTTTCTTTTCGGGTGCGTTCGATGACGAGAAACCAAGGAGGCGCGTGGTCCTTTAAAAATCGGTCTCAACGTCCCTAGCACTCTACCGTGTTCATCCAAAAGTTCATGGTCCTGCCAAGAAGCCACCACAGGTAAACCACAGGCGTTGTGCATTCCTACCAACGGTACACCGATCGCTCGATGTTTGTTCACTTCCGAAAGTACTTGATACTTGTCCATCAAGTCCCAGTTGCGTCCAGTCCGCCTCGCGTTCTCTTCGTACGCGGATATTTTCTGACCAACATGTCCCCGCTCCACATTGAGGGTCCCCCATTTTCTCGAGACGCGTACCTCATCATTCTTCGGAGACTTATCTTTCGCTTCCTCGTTGCATCGGTTCTTCGATTTTTTGTCCTTCAACCACCGCCGACTGGAAGTCAATTTCTGAGCGGAAGCTTTATAGAAGTAGTCATCCAGGTCGGTCAAATCTCGATCCTCGTCATGCATAGAAACATTGTATTCACTTTGCGCGATCCTTCTGTCCAACGTCTTCAGCTTGGAGTTAATCTTGCCACTTTGAACTTCGCGCTGGTAATCGCAAGAGTGACAAGATCTTCGAGATGGATTAGCAGGTTCTGAACGCCTGGATGCACGCGTTTGAGGCTCCGTTTCATTCTTGAAGGTCGTATCTTTTGATTTAGGATTCTTCTCTGGCTCTGATATGGAGGATTCAAACTGAAGTTGAGGTGCTTCGGATCGTCTTAGGGTTCCGATGTTGTAGGCTATGGAAGCTTGATAATTTCTTATGGGGATGCTCCTGACGGTGCCGCCATTTTGTGATCTCCCTTTAGAGTTCTTTTTATCGTTACGAAGTTTAACGGAGTTGCATTCTTTGTCGTTCTTATAGTCTTTCTTGTAATCCTTCGAACAATGGAAATAGTAATCTGGTGCCACGTCGACCGCTCGTTCCTCGTACAACTGATCGCTTCGGAGAACGTCCTCGTTGAATTTCGGGGGGTTCTTCCATTCCTCGATTATGCTTCTCCCGAATCTCCTCACGTCGTTAAGTCTAGGCAAGTTCGACACGGTTTTCGTGCTTGTATTTTTGGCGCCGATTGCTGATTTACCCTCACTGCCCTCTAGCCACCTTCATGATTTGGCACCGAACGTCGTACCAGCTACGTGCATTCGATTCTCGATCCCCAACCCTGCGAATAAGTTTTTTAAAGTTATTTTTGAAGTAGTTTTTTATAATTTGGAAATTTCAAGAGTGGAGAGTTGGAGAGTTCCTCACCGAAATCATGATCGCTCTCGCTGAAAGGACTGAGTGTTTGCGTGGACGTGAACGTCGACGCTTGCGACTTAGCTCTTCTATTTCCGCGCGAACAAGCGAAGAAGGTGCTCAGAAGAGCACCCACTTCTACGAATATCACTGCTAATCCGACTGTGAGGAGTATCAGTGCTTGATCTTGCGTCCATTTCTCGAGCATCTCCAAACAACCCTGTAACATCATTCACCCTGTACTTTCTTCAAACTATTTCAAAGAACATTTCTATAAGAGTCTTGAGAGACTTGACACAACATTTCTATTATATAATTTACACTACATCTCAATAAAAATTACCCTCATGAAAAAGTCCTCTATTTTTATAATCAAAATGAAAAAGTTCAAAATTGATCATTTTGGTGTACTCGTTTCGGTGTTAACCACGGACAAATATAAACATACCCTCTTTTTTTATTGTGGTTAACAGGTTGAACATTCTGTATGCTATACAGTAACTTTTAATCGACACGAATAACGAGACCGATCGTCAATACCGTTTGTACTGCACACGTGCATGTTCAATAATGACCCGCATGCAAATATCACTGCCTAAGGGGATATTCAGCCGTATGCGGGTTGCGCAAAAGCAACCGGTGTATCGTTTAATCTGTATCGTATCTGGAAATGAACGTGTCGCGTATATACGTTGAAAAGTTGCTCTCGTATTATGCGAGAAAGTTTCCTTATCGTTTGTCCGCGTTAAATTTCACTCGTTCGAACAGATATGTATTACATTGAAGATTGAAATGTCGTCGCGTGTCGAAACTGTCCATCAACGTGACATTATCCCGCGAGAACCCTTTTAACCGCGTACGGTGATAACTTTTAATTTTATTCGCGGCTGGAAAGTATTTCATTGTACAGAATATAAATTAAGGGACGTAATGAAATTTTGTGGTGCGAAAGATAAAATTGACATAGAGGAAATTTTAGAGGGGTAAGTCATAAGTAATTTCTATAACAAAATTGTTGGGAAAATCTTAAGAAAATTTTAGGATCATAACTCATATCGTAGTCCTAGAAATATATGATAACAGAATTTGCAGTACCGCCATCGAACATAATATCGAATAAATTTTAAATTATCCAATGTACAGTAAATCGATGGTGACAGTAAACCGAGAGTTCAACAGGTCCAATCGAAGATGATCCTGTCTACTTGTCAATGTTTACGCCTTTCGTTGGTGCAAATAATAACATCCTCATTACGATACGTACTGTGGTGTGTCGTGCGTATTGATGTTCGGCGGGATTCAAAGCCTGGCAGAGAGTAAGATTGGCAGGTTCAGGGTTGAGGAAGGAGTCGGTTTGGTTGGCGTTATTCAGGGTGCAGCAACTGAGAGGCACCACTAATTCTCTTCGGCCGACTTCCTGCAGCCGCCACCACGAGGTGCCGTAATTGCTACTTCCGTTGATACCGCAGCAAGCAAACTGAAAAGGTCGATACAATTTACGGCATTCGGAGAGGTGTGTACATAATTACGGTGCTTCACGAGGCATTTGTCGTAATCACCGAGTTTTAGGAAACAACGAGACACTCCCGATTGCTCGTTGACTTGCACCCTTTTTGATATTTGATAAAAAAGTGAATTTTTAACGATGTTTCATTTTATGTTTCATTTGATGTTTCATTTAATACTTTCTGTATTTTTCTGTATATTCTGTTGGATGTCACATGAATTTTCGTAAGGAACACTTAGGAACGACATGTGTTTAATTCATCGCAAATAACGCGTGACGAGGCGTCATCATACAACGAGTGACAGCATGACTTGTAAGATAAAATTACTAGAAAGATTTTTTACAATTTGTACATTCAAAATGGTAATATATACCGTGGTCTGAGCGAGATCCAAGGCTGCTGTGAATTGTTCTCGACCAGGAACAGCATAGCTGCGTTGCAGAGCACGTATCAATCTCGCTGTTCTGACATCGATACCCAACACATGAGGCCAAAACACCACCATAACGCAGACTGTACACTCGCCGAGTAGCAGCAGGATTATCGTGATGAGATACTGCAAATATTTTCATTAGGAAGGCATTTCGTTCCAACACTTATATTTATCAAGATGAAAATTTTTTACTATAAAATTATAACATAGCGCATCGTGATACTGTAATATATCGTTTGAAAAATATCACTAATTAAATATGATTATAATACAAATTCTGAAGACGCAGCGATCGGGAAGCATTAGTTCAAACCAGGTGCTTTTTAAACTATTATTTTTACGGTATCTTCAGCTATGAAAATGCCATGTTAAGATAACAAAGAAAGAAAAATGTTCCGACATTGAACGCGTTCACGAACGATGCACGCGCTCATCTAATAAGCGACTCCCTGAATAATTGCTGTTTTTAAATGATACGCGAACTCGCCCTCTTTCCATGGGCACGCGTGCTTGGATTTATCTAGATCCGTTTCCGGCCAGCGACGCGTGACCATAGCCTCGCAAAGTGGGAAATCTGGTTTCGGTTTGGTCTGCCGAGCGTACTCATCGTCGAGGCTCGAAGGAACGTCTTGTGGGACCTTGACTTTTGTCTATTATCGAGGAAAAACTTGTAAGACTTTGTGAATCTCTGAATAGCAAGTAAATTTCAACATCTACCGCTTATTTTAGTGAAAACCACTTTACATTATAAATTGTACACAACGAGACCGTATCCAATATTATAAATACTTTCCACTGAATTTCTAAAAAATAAGATTAACATTTTCCATGATTCTAAAGTGTTCCGAATGTTTTAGATTTTAAATTCGATACTACCACAAGTTACTGCTAACAATGCATGAAATTTAAAATTCTATACAGCTTAATTGCAGATTACAAGGCGTGAAAAATAATGAGCTTCAATATTAGACGTCATTATTTGAACAATGAATTAAACATTAGGCTTAATTGGCTGCGGAGTCAAAAGAAAGGGTAAACATACAGGATTTTAAAGAATAAAATTGAAGTTTGTAAAAGTCTTACAGAGATTGTGACACATCGATTGTAGATACAAGTCGCCCAGCATCCTAAGATACCCGTGAGAGTGATCAAGAATCCCAGTCCAATGATGGCGAATGCCAGGTAGTAAAACAGTGGTTGATTAGGATGTATGTCTCCTGGTCCCAATAAACGCGACAGTAAAATACGTTCATCGTCGGCTAACAACAATGCTCCTAATGACATCAGTGCGAAACCCGATATCTGAAAATGAGGATGTCTTAACATTTTATTATTTCGCAAATGAAGCTAATAAGCATTATCTTTTTAATTTATGAGTGCAACTCAGGTACATGGTCCGAACTTCCCTTTTAAAAAATTTCAAAGTTGAATGTTGAGGAATTAAAAATATTTTAAGTTTGAAAATTTTCAAATTAAAAAATATAGAAACTCTCAATTTTTTAATTTTAAAGCGTTTACCCTACAGATATCGACAACCCCCGGCCGCAGCGAACATGAGTCATCATCGACAAAACTTTATGAAAGTAAGTTTCAAATTTCTCAAACTTTCTATTGCAGATATCATCTCCAAAGCTTTCATGTTCTTCAGCCGGCAAACATAGAAACTCTAACGAATTTCATTTTCGTTTATTTCGTAACTTACCAAAAAGACGACATTGGAACAACACACGAAGATTCGCGATACACCCAAGTTTTTTCTGTCCATTTTAAAAAGTACTCATTGAATCTTGAATTTGTTTATATCCGTAAAGCCGGGCGAAAGGAAGAAACTGATGACAATTTGTCACGTCAATCCCTCGCGATGACATTCCATTAATGGTCACCGATAAACGTTCACGAAGTTTCAATTCACTAGTTTTATTTTTTCTCTTTCAGTGATGTTTCTGCTTTGTGATCCTTTTTTAATCCCGAAGCGCACTTGCTCGCGTTAACCAGAAGACTAAAAAGCTGGCGCGTGATGGATAGTGCCGTACGAATACTGGCATCTGTATATGCGCTTGCGTTGTGTGCCCTCATGCACGACCGACCGGATGGAACCGGAAGGAAATAGAAAGGCACGAAACAAAAAAGAACAGGGAGGGGGTGAAATGTCCATATGTATGTACTTACTTGCTTACGCGATTGTTACAGATACCAGTGGTGTTCGTCAAAATTTCACAGAGGGGTTTGACACTTTTAAACGCGACGGTTCCGGATGAGTAAGTCTTCGCTTCCGTTCGAACTTATGAAACACCCGAGTACGTTGAAAATTTTTACCGATCATTTTCACTGATGGCGCAATTATTTCATTAGAAATATCACTCTTTTCTTGAAATATAGTTCCAAGAGAAAATTTTGAGGTAATATTTTTTTCAGTACATCCTTTAGATTACAACCTTTTACATTTTTAAGATTCATTATGATTACTCGTTAGTAAGGCATTATTTTCTAAAATCTCGAAGTCCAACTTTTGAAAACAGTAATTTTTTGAGACCCATTCAATAGTTATTTTAAAAGGGAGGAGAAAAGAACTGTAAACCTTTGATGCTTATTAATTCATTCTACATTTTTATTATATGGACTAAAGTGATACATCCAGAACGAATAGACAGTTACTTTCAACGTTTGCGATAAATCAGTTTTGTAATATCATACTAGAGTATAGAGAAATGCATTACGTATATTATTGTGAGTGTTCATGAAGCCTATCTCCTCTCTGCATTAATTCACCTGGTATACTACGCGTTTCTGGTTTAAGTAATGCGAATGACGCTCGCGTCCACCTGTATCGTGTTACTAGTAGGTGCAATAAATAGCCAGAAGGAATAGAAGAATAAACTTTTATTATTTTTCTAAAAATATGAAATATTTATACAGCTGAAGTAGTTTCGCAAGCGATATAAAATCCTAAGTTACATATTTCTGTACAGTAAAAATAATTATAATGAAGGCACGCCATTACGCCTTTTAAAAATCTAATGGATTTTTGCGCGATTGACTAGAGCATCCCAAATGAGGTACTTCTTCATCTTGTTCTCGTTGTGCGGTGTCTCCTAATTCGGGTGGTAAATGCAAAACCTGGAACAAAATATTAAGTTGTAGGATTGCTAAAGTTTAAAACAATGCACAATATTTACCTCGATAACAAATTTCTTACGTCGCAGTTTGAACGTAAGATCTCGTGTTTCTGGATTGTGAGGTGCTATAGTATTTATGGCGGGCAATTTTTTAAGATGTAACAGGCCGTGATAATCCTTGAATAATGGATTTGTTTCTTTTTGAGAACCTGCGAACGATTCCAATCTGATTGCAATATCTGATAAATGCTCGATTCGCTGTATTATGGAATCCTAAAAATCAATCACAATAAATCACACTTATGTTTATATTAATCAACTCAACTAATATTATATAAAACCTACTGAATTATCTAAACAATCTACAGGTACAGTGATCACTCCAACTGCATAAGAGTATCTCAGAAGAGCTCTAAAGTGGTACAGAAATTTCAATAAGTCTTGATGTGAATCGTTCTCAGAATCAGAGAACCATAATCTAGATCCTAAAGAATGAATTGCAATTCTCAAAGCCTGTCTTTTCGCAGGTGTATCTGATACTAGGTATTGCCCTTTCTGTAAAGTTTCTTGAATACACTTTAGTAACTTTGAATATGTTGCATTTTCAAATGCATCATCTTTTTCAGGAAAACTGTCATCATACCACTGTGTAATATTTGCTTTATCGATTGCTTCTTTCTCCATTGTCTTTGTAAGATCATAAAAGTGACCAAAAATTTGTCCGCCAGTTGGAGATGCATCAATTAATTTCATATTTTGGTACCTCCATGCAATTTTCATTTGTTCATCTGTGACTGGAGGTTTGTCGATTGATACATCTGTTATGACAGCTGGTATGTCTGATATGAATTGAGATGGTTTAACATCTTTGGATCCTATCAACACTGGCTGAGCTGTGACCACACCTTCTGCCATAAAGTACTTTATCATAATCTTTGCATAGGTACCATAATGATCTTCCTCTGAAATAAAGCAAGGAATTATTTTCTATATCTTTTTGATACTCATGTAGTCTTTACGTACCAATAAGAAATAGGGAACCTATAGGTAATCCACCACCTACAAAAAATGAATTTAGATATACTAGGTATAAATTAATAATAAAGATTAACTGTTAGTATTAAATGGTTTATCAAAGACATTATTCTCAAACCTATTATGTGATCCAAAGAAGGGATTCCAGATGAAATAAGTAATTGTGAATTTTTTATTGAAGGTTTTGTTCCTGGTATGAAAGGAATTCTACTTCCTTTTGCAGCACTTAAATCCATCGTTTATAGACATTTACCTACAAATTGCAGAAATTTAATTATATAAAACAACCTGGTTAAACAGACACAAAATTATATCCTTTACATCAGGTATTGATTTACATGTCATAACAATTACCATGTGTATTCGTAGGTTATGTTTACAAATGTCATATAATAAGTTGTTAACTATAATATTTCAATTTTCTACAGCATGTTTAACATGAACTCTTCAAAAATCATAAATTATTAACGTAATATGCATACGATTAACTTATAAAATGATCAAATGATCATAAAACTACTTTACAGTGTTCCGACTATATCCTAAATTTTACCTACATAGTCGAACACAACGATGGCAGCACTTACAACTGATTTTATGAAGTCGACCGCTGACGCTTTTTATAGTTTGTAATTCTTCTAACAGAATGCACCCGTATCAATCTCTACAATTACGATTTATCGGTTGTATAATATTTAAGGTATTCACACTTTTTTGTACATAATCCTCTTATTCATAAATTAATAAATTCACATTTTATTTACTGTGCGAAAGAGATATCAATTTTCTCTTGAAATATCCTGCTACTTACGTATACTGCGGATATCTTAGATTTGCGTCACACTCAATTAATATTATTATTTTTAATATTAATATTAATAATATTAACCTAGTACGAATACGCATTGCCCGTAGCAAATGAATTAAATTACTTGAATTAATTTTTCGATTAAATAAATTTCTAAAAATAAATATAATTACGATTGCAAATAAAAATTCGATAATGCAAACTTAGTATTGTAAAGGAAGTGGAAGAATATATAAAATTAATCTAAATAATTAGATAATAATATCGTACATTAATTGTACCGATTTATAGAAGTTAAATATTAATTTTCGAAAAGCCAAGCTACGGAAACGAGTTCCTGTGCTATACTTTGAATACATTGTGATATAGATTGCGACGAGCCAAGGTAGGGGAGTGAAATACATAAGTAGAGGAAGAACGTACATGTGCACAAGAAAGAGAAAGTAGAGGCAGTACCGCCGATAGTGCCGGGCAAACAGGGCACTCGTCTCGGGCTCTATGTTTAGGGGAATCCTATATGGTACATAGAGAGAGCGGTCTGTATTTTTGAAGGAATCAATTCTATTTTAGTTCTAACCAATCTAGTTTTAATTAAATGTACTGACAAAGATTGATTATCACATAATTCTTCAAGCAGAGAACTTGTTCATTGCTATCATTTGACTGTTATGAGCAAATGTAAATTTTCATAAAAGAAAATATTAGTGTTCGCTATTCTTTTTCTTGCCTTATTAGGGCCAGGTTGAGAACCCTTACCCTACAATAATGTCAACTTTTACCCTGGGTACCGTAAACTCTAGCGGCAGTACTGAGTAGAGGGTATGCGTGAGTAACCCGTCTCGTGCATGTTAGATTCGAAGCTGTGGCACGAGCAGTTGTGCAAAGGAACGGTATGGAGGTATCCGGCCAAACACTGAAACCCCCTCCTGTTACTAGCCCATCTTTTTCCCCTTCTAACGTATTCCGATCGGCCGTCTTCCTCCTACTTCTTCCAGTACAGTCGTTTCCCCTACCATTCACGTACTTTCTTTCTCCAGCGTACTCGTGCCGACTATCGATTTCTCGCTTCCTCCCTCGGTCTTTTCCTTTCTTTCCACAGACAAGCCGGAGCACGCTGCCCTCGCTCAACTACCTGTTGTGACGTCCAACGCGCACTCGACGACGCATTGGGACAATCGAGAGATTCAGCACACGCCGCGTGCGCTGCTGTTTTTCCATGTGTGTTTCGTGTATATACGTTCACGGCCAGCAAGACGCTTGTACACCGTCCTCCACGTATAAGAAAGCCTTCCGTTGGCAAAGCGTGTGCCCGATCTGTGAGGTAAAGCCGATATTAAGCCGCGAAAGGCTTGTCGCGCACTCCCACTATCATTCCGCTTCCCGTCCCTCGCGTAACCACGCGATATGAGCGAGCGAGAGGAAGTGAACACGGACAGAGAAAGAACTTAGCAAGAGGCTTGTATCGAGAAGTTATAGTTAGACTTTAGCGACTATGGGAGACATTGCAGTCGCGTTTGCAAATTTATAATATATGCGGATAATCTTGCCATAATAATAAATTCTACCTATTGTCTCTTACGATGGTTCTTTGCTTTTGAGATGGATTGTACGACCACTATCTATCGTAGGACTTCTCGACCATTTGTAGGCCGAGACCCACTTTCGAAAATGGTGATTTCTAGGAATACATTTGCTTGTAATGCACTGTTTTGCAAAATCTAAATGTTTCAATATTCTGAAGTCCTAAAGCGGATTTAGTACATTTTCATCCAGAAATATGCTTAATGATTAAAATTGTATTTGTACATACAAAATTAATCTCATAATTAATTACATTAGTCAAAAAAATGATTGGAATAATAAGTAACTGTTTTATCACTAAATTTAAGTATCGGAGAACTTTTCACTCGAACAAAAATTTATTTAGGTAATGTCCAACACCGTCCAAGACGAATCGCGATACGCCTACGAAAGAAATCTAAGTAGGTACAGATTTTATACGTGGCGCCAAGTCGCGTTAGTAACAGAGATCGCCACCAGGCGTCGTGGTAACTTAGGCGCCTCTTGTATACACGGAGTTTCCAGGCCCTGAACTTAGTCGCGCGCGGTGAACGTTCCGTCCTACCGTCGAATCTTCGCGCGCGTCCCGTCGAGAGTGACAGTTCGAAAATTTTCTATACCCGGAAGACAAATGCTATCGTCCGACCCTCGTGTATCGTTACGCAGCGAAGAACACGACGGGACGCGTATAACACGGAACTGGTAGAAGCATCGATAAGCCGTTTTCACGACGAAAAAGAGCGTGGTTAATTGCGAGCGGAGTGCGTTCGCGTGGAGGCTGAACAGCGGTGACTACGTTGCGTTGGAACGACACGGACTTCACGGTATACCGTACAGTCACGTTGCATCGGTTAAATAAAACGCGGAGAACCAAGTATCGGCGGTATGCCGCGATGTCAACAACCCGACAGACGATACAGTGTGCTTAAACGTGACATTGGTGCGTGCCTAGTGTGACAAACTTTATTTACAGTGTCTCGATCGAAACGAAAGCGACGCGCGTTACACTGATATACCGGGCAAATGACAATTTTCTTCGTTTCGACGAACGAGACGTACGCGTTGTGTCGGTCGCGCGCGTACTAAACGCGTGGCGCGACGCTGGGGGGAGGGAGGGGGGAGAGAGTGATTCTCAGCGAAACATTACCGATCGAAAGATCAACGCGAAGCATCGTATCGCAGCGAAGTGACCGCGTTCGCGAGAACGAGCCGAGGGCAACGCAACGCGGCAGCGTCGAGGCGCGAACGACGCGACGACGTATGTACCGGTGATTATGAATACGGTCTATAAGCCACGTATTTTTCCTTTCGGGATACATTTAGGTTGACGCGTTAGTCAGCTGGGGTAAATGTAAATGTCTGTTAAGAACTTGTTTAAGTCGGTAGTTGAGAGACGAGCGAGGGGTGTATTTCTAACTGACTGCTAACTTGAATCGCTCAGAAATTTCTTAATAGGCATTTACATTTACCTCACTTGACCCTATTAAAATATATTTCTCCATTATGAAACAAAATCTTTCACACGATACGCGCTCTTCTGACGCGAAACTTGCTTACCATGGAATCCGACGAGTAATTTTTAAAATTAACAAGATATCTTAATTGGTAACTTACGATAACAAAAGATAATAAATTTTGTTAAAAGCGAACGTATTTAGTCACTTGTTATCGTTGAAATTTCGCACGATTAATCTTTATTAATATTCAATGCCAACGATATTTCTGACATTGTAAAGATTTTAAAATAGTCGTGATGTAAAATGCAAGATAACGTTGCAGACTTTCCGTCTACGACTATCCTTGTAGATAAACGATAACGGAAATAATTGTATCCTGTAATACAGTTTCGGGTTTCCCCGTCTTTCATTCAAACCTTAAAATACGAAATTTTATCTATTCATGTCTAGTCATTTTATGTAAGATTTAGAAATCGTATCCGCACGTATCTGTAAATAGATAGGTAATAGATAATCACGGTATCTCTTCTTAGTATTATTCTAGAAACTCGCCGAGAAGTTTTTGCATCATAATACGATTTACCATAAACTGCTTATATTATGTTGTACTATCAATATTATTCCAGTACATTGGGGAGCAAATCTGTGTTTCCCCAGGGGAAAATCCGATGTTGAGAACTGTAAACAGTGACGCAGTTAATGAAATAAATTTGCAAATTGACACACGTATTTTCACATTCAATTTATAATATCTCGTGCTATGAATTTTGGGATTTGACAGTTTCGGAATTTAAGAATTTAGGAATTAAGGAATTGGAAGTTTGACAATTTACTAATATAGGTGTTTAGAAATTTTATTTAAAGGTCAACGGCAAATTCAAAATATTTGGCTTCTTACATTATTCAAAGGAAGTACTTGGAATTAAAATCGAAAATTCAGGTGATTTGATAGGGAACCATATCGTAAGCAAAATGTAATTAAAGTAGTTAGAAGTTACTGTCAGGGTACTATTTTAGGAGCGTTACTTTTTTCGCGCCCGTTTAAAAAATTTTTGATATATTGTATAAGAATTTATAAAAAAAAAATTAACAAAAATTTTTGGTTGGTTTTGTGACATAGACCACTCTGACAATCACCGGCACATATTCCAAATGCGTGTTGACCGGAAGTTGAGGATCGTCGCATTGGCAGGGTGGCAGAGGATGCTCGGCTCGAGGGCAGAGGCGGGAGACGAGGTCGCAGCAGTAGCAGTAGCGTGCGTCAGGCGCTTCGGTAGCAGAGGTTCTCACTGAGCTGGCTTACCCTGCGGTGGATTTAGGGGGCTGTATGGAGGCCGGGGGGCTCCTGCCC